GTGCTGGGATATATATTCATTCTTGGTGCAGAGTTTTAGGTAGTTCTTATTTTCTGCTTTACTTAATCTTTTTTCACATTACATCATACCCTATGCATCCAATTAATATACTACAATTAAAAAAATTATTTCCTAGTTGGCTATTTATAATTTTTCACCATTTTGAATAATGAAATTATGTTGAAATTTTCTGAAATCATTTATATTTCATATCCTTCCCTACCTTGTTTTGGATAAAGTCCCAGGGGTGGGCTTATTAGGTCAAAGGAAGAAATGGCCTTAAGACTCTAACACAACTCCTGAACTTTACTCACAGAGTTGCACATTCACAGAATTTGAGGGTATTGGTTTGCCACAGCTTTCCCAATTCTGGGCATTATTATTTAAATACTAATTTTGCAACCTAACAGGTAAGTTATAATCATTATTTCCATTCACATCTGGTTATCAGTAAAATTAAGTGTTCGCCCTGGTAATGTTCAGTCCTCAATTGTACTTCTCTTTTGAACCACCTGGTCATGTACTTTATCTAATTGCTTGAGGAGGCACAATAGCTTTTTGGATTTATAAAAAATGTTTCATATGTTAGGTTAATAGCCCTCGCCTGCCTCCCCAGCTCCTTCCTCCCTCATCTTCCGTCTCTGCCTTCTCACACTTGGTCTCTACAGATTCTGTCCTTAAAACCATCCACTGCTCTCCCCTCCACCTCCCATTTCAGAACATTTCTTTTAAGCGGCTTATTTGCGTCCTTCCTTCATTTCCCCTCATTTTTTTTATTGTGGTAAAATTCACCAAACAAAATTTACTGTCTAATGTGCATTAAGCACGTTGACATGGTGGTGCCACCGTCACCACCATCTGTCTCTACAACTTTTTCATCTTCTCCAACAGAACTTGAAATAACAACTCCTTAATCCCTTCTCCCCCCAGCCCTCGGTGGCCACGTCCCTGCTTCCTTCCTGCTGGTTTTCACTATCCCAGCTGCCTCATATAAGTAGAATCATCGTATTTGTCCTTTTGTGTCTGGCTCACGTCACCGAGTGTAACGCCCTCAAGGTTCATCCCTGCGTGTAGCATGTGCCAGAATTTCCCTTTCAAGGCTGAATAATACCCCGCTGTATGGATAAGGCCACATTTATCCATTTATAGGCTCTTCAGTTGCTTCCACCTTCCTTCCTTCCCTTTAGTTTTTAAAAATCTGGAAGAAATGGCATCACAATGGTACTATTTGGTTGAGTAACTATGAAAGGAATGAGAAAGGTTGCAGGGTGGGCCCTGCAGGTATGGTTTAAGCAACTGGGAATGGAATGGGGAGGGCTACAAGGTGGGCCCTGCAGGCCAGGGCCCAGGAACAGAACTTATGTGGAAACAACAAAATGGAGCTGATCTGGTCCTCACAGCCACTTGAGCCACAGTCCCCGAGCCTCTACTAACTTTTCTAACTCCTTGCTGTTTGTACATAGGAAGCCTAGTTGTTTAGTATGTTACTTTTATATTTCACTCCTTAGCAAAATCTCATTGTCTACCTCATTTTTCAATTGCTTCTCTCGGATTTTCAAGAATAAACATAATTATTTCACCTCCTCCTTTCTCCTTAAATTTCCTACTCTTTTTTTCTTGCCTAGTTTTATCAGCAGGACCTACAAAATAATGGTGACAGAGGGTAGCCTTTTGTTCCAAAGTTAGGTTTAGGGTTTTTTTT